AGAAAGCCAATGGTGACGAGTGTGTCCCTATCGCGGAGACCCATGAACGCTGGGGTGAGCATTTTCAGACTGTGCTAAACGTCATCAATGATGTTGACAATGATGCGCTTACCAGCATCCCCCAACGGAATACCGATGCAGAACTCGCTATGCCACCAACAATTGAGGAAGTCCGCAAGGCCCATGATGTCCAGAGATGAGGACTGCAGTGCGATTGCCAATAAATGCAAGGGTGCCATGATGCGACCAGTGACTATGAATGCCATGATGAACTCAAAGCTAGTGATCGACCTGAGGAGTGATGAGGCAGCACTTTGAGATTCTGTATTCCACTCAGGTCGTGCACCTCTGCTGATATCTTCAAAGGTTGTCACGACATCCTCGTACAAAGCCTTTGTTGCGCAACGGGTCTAGAGTGAAAGACTTTTCATGGCTTATTTATGTTGTTCTTTAGTTTTATTATGTAGTGGTTTAGTCTTGACTTTGTTGCATTGTTTTGGTTGCATGTGCAGTCTTCTGTACATGTATACACCATGCAACGCTTACGTCATCGTCGCGCGTGCAACATTATTTCGTGCGCATGCTCATTATATACTGCCGCAACGTTTGTCCTTTTCTTTAGTTATCAGTTTTGCCTTGTCGTGTCCAGTCTTCTCGTCTGTCCGTCTTCGTCTTGTCAAGATATTATGTAGAACTTTTAGTTCAGTTGCGCTGTTGTGTGTAGCGAGTCGGATGGGCGGGGAGGCTGGGACCCTGACGCCTGGAGAAGATGTGCTGGTGCACGAAATTGGCGACCACGCCAGGATTGTCAGGAAGACGAGGAACTTGCAGGAACTCCGGTGCGAAGGAAAACGCATCGAGAACAAATAACCATTAGTACGTCTACGTCGTTGGGAGGCAGTTTGCACCGTGCATGCGTGGACGAGTGACCAACGAGGGAGCTGCGTCGTTGTCCGCAGTTTGTACCTGGGGTTGTGTGACCTCCGAGGGAGCTGCTTTAGTCCGACGACAAGGACGGTGCGAAGGAAAACGCATCGAAATCAAATAACCATTTGTACGTCTACGTCGTTGGGAGACAGTTTGCACCGTGCACGAGTGGACGAGTGACCAACGAGGGAGCTGCGCCGTTGTCCGCAGTTTGTACCTGGGATTGTGTGACCTCCAAGGGAGCTGCTTTAGTCTGACGACAAGGACGGTGCGAAGGAAAACGCATCTAAATCAAATAACCATTTGTACGTCTACGTCGTTGGGAGGCAGTTTGCACCGTGCACGAGTGGACGAGTGACCAACGAGGGAGCTGCGCCGTTGTCCGCAGTTTGTACCTGGGATTGTGTGACCTCCGAGGGAGCTGCTTGAATCCGACGACAAGGACGGTGTGAAGGAAAACGCATTGAAATCAAATAACCCACGGTACGGTCGTCCACAGTGGAGGAACCCTGCGGGGCGCTGTTCTCGACGACAAGAAGAAGGACATGGAGGGTACGAAGGAAAACGCATCGTGAACAAATAACCCGCCATGAGTGTGAAGGAGTTTAGAAGGTGCTCCCGCTTTGATTTGTTGTACAAGTTTGTAGTTTTGATTTGCTCGATTTGTGTGATCTGTACTCGATGTGTTGGTGCCTGGCCTGGTGATAGGTCGGATGTATTGTTGGCCCCGTAGGTTAATTGTTTGTGCCTGGCCTGGTGATGGGTCGGATGTTGACTGTAGTTTATTGCCTTGATTTGCTGGTGCCTGGTGACAGTTGGGAAGCTGACTTCCGTTTGTATTTTCTATTGATCGTTCATTTGTTATTATTTATTTTGCCATTTGTGAGTCTTAGATTATCTATGCGTGCAGCATAGATTATATGTAGTACAGTTTGGAGCCTCCTTGAGCCTTGAAAAGGTCTTTGGCGGGGAGTATGTTGCGCAACGGGTCTAGAGTGAAAGACTTTTCATGGCTTATTTATGTTGTTCTTTAGTTTTATTATGTAGTGGTTTAGTCTTGACTTTGTTGCATTGTTTTGGTTGCATGTGCAGTCTTCTGTACATGTATACACCATGCAACGCTTACGTCATCGTCGCGCGTGCAACATTATTTCGTGCGCATGCTCATTATATACTGCCGCAACGTTTGTCCTTTTCTTTAGTTATCAGTTTTGCCTTGTCGTGTCCAGTCTTCTCGTCTGTCCGTCTTCGTCTTGTCAAGATATTATGTAGAACTTTTAGTTCAGTTGCGCTGTTGTGTGTGGCGAGTCGGATGGGCGGGGAGGCTGGGCCCCTGACGCCTGGAGAAGATGTGCTGGTGCACGAAAGCCTTTAATGTGATGAGCGCAGTACTTCTAGAGGTCGACCAGCTTTCGGACAGTGGCTCCTTCATTGCTGGCTTTGATGACCGACTCTAGTTTGGCCTGACGCTTTGGCGAGTACTTGAAGAATATGGAAACTTCTAGCAAGATGCTCCACATACTCGACACTGGTGTGATTTTAGTGGCTGCGATAACACAAAGATTTCGGCAATGGCTTGAACAGTGGACATACAGAGCCTTTGGATATGATTGGCGAATGATTGCTGAACACCCTGACAATCGGCCAGCCATGTTGCCAGTCCCATTATAGCCTTGTGCTCGAAGACTGTCCAAGTTTAGCCCCCACTCGCCGAGTTTCTGAAGGATGAGTTGGGCGAGTGCGGTGCCACTAGTTCCACTATCACACAGCGCGAATCCAAGAAAATCCTCACATATACCAGTGTCAGCTACACACCGGACTACAGGTGGCATCTGTTCCTTATTTGGGCAGTCCGCGGCTTCATCGGCCAGTATGGCAAAGAAGGGGCTTTGATTGATGGCTTTAACCAGCGAGTCGCGAATCTCATCACCACAGCACTGGATCACATCATTATGAATCCTTCTGCCACAGTAAGTCACAGACTTTCCACCTCGTGCTTGGTAAAAAGACCCAGTCGCATGCGCATCCCCAGCCTCTGCTCGAAAGTTCATGAGGGCCATTCAATTCCCTGGATTTCCACTCAGTCCCCTGCGGTCCTTGGATGCCTCGTGCCGATGTCGGCACAGTGGGATATTCTGCCTGTCTAGGAACATGACAGTGGATATTACAGAGCGCAAGCGAGTCATGTTTTCCTCAGCTTGTCGCTGGTGTTCGCTGGACAGTTGTGTTGCCACGTCTGCTTTCTCACCAGATGCAGTCCTCTCGAAATCTGCAAACCGCACCATGCTCGTTTCATGAGCTTTCTGGCTTTCATAGCGAGTGAACTCCGCCGTCGACTTCGTCCAGTTATTAAAAGGCTGGTAATACAACTGGCCAAGGTGCTGGCCAACAGCTGTGAAGAGGATGCATGGCAGACAGAAGACAGAGTCCAGCTTCTTGGAGTAGGCAAGCCAAGGAAAACGATCTTGCCAGGACGGCTGGAATGTTGGACGCTTCTTATTAAATACTCGGACTGGATAAGAGAAGGGTTAGGTGGGTGTCCAGTGTTGATTGGCGATCGCCACCTTTGTTTTATAAGGGGCAGTGCGTGGACAGAGTTTCCACCAACAATTCTCGCCATCATAGAGTGTGCCAACGTCGGAAAAGTCAAAATCTTCACCAAAAGTCAATATTTTTGCAGCGGGCTCATCAGCAGTTTCCTCCTCTATTGTGAAACTTGCCTCGTCACAGTCTTGAACTTCAACTTGGCTGCCGCCTTCAGCAATGCCGGTGCCGGTGGCGGAAGAATCCGACTCTCCGTCAGAAATTTCACGTCGTTCCGGGTGCACCGCTGCTGTTTTTTTTCCCCAGAGAGCGGACAAAATCTTCTGCTGAAAACTCATTGCCTTTGTTCTCAAAACCACAAACCTGAACAATAATTTACTAACAAAACAGACAGCCGCTTGTACTCGAGTCCAAAACCAAAGCATCCACTTCAAAGCCAAGATGAAAGCACTTGTTTCCACTTTGGACATATGCGACATGCCTACTGTCCGCGCTTTGTCTTTGATGTCCTTGCACAAGCACAGTACACTGTACAGCGTAGTCGAGTCCAGCAAAAATTATTTGCATCGTGCGTGAGTGGACATATCACTAGCGCCGGTACCGTAGTGGTTGTGCCTGAATGCAACATGATCACTGTCCATGTTATTGTACACTGTACTCAGCAGTAGCGGTGGGCACCTGCACTACACGTTCCCTGCCTTTCACACGAAAAGTGCATCTACGCACACTGTGACAGTGCACGCGCATGCACCGCATGTTGCGAATGCAGCAAAAATATCGCTGGCCGCAAAAAGGTAGTTTCCGGGCTCCAAGAAAACCACGCGGTGCACGCGCCTGCCGACATTCCCATTAGGGCCAGAGGAGATAGCAGGTGATAACAACCAATATAGATGGAATAATGTAAACAAACTAGTCTTGTCGATCGGGTCCTGCGTCCCGGGGACGGCATTACGGAACATAATGGCTGTGATTCCGTTACATGCGTGATCTGCACCGACAGGCGTGTGCTGACTGATCAAACTGCACTGCAGGGTCGAACTGTGCTGTACGCAAAGTACACTGCCGTCAAACATTTTTTGGCGGGAAAAGCTGTTTTTCCTTGGGTTTGAGAGAAATCTAGGGATTCTGCACGTCTTGATTGAGATTTTTTTGGTTGGTGAGTATGGAATGTCTTTAGCTCGTAAAGCTTTGATGCTGCAATCCCCAGTCACTTCTCGACTTTAATGTCAGATGTTCCATCTCCAGGGATCGTCGGTCCGCAGTACTTGAATCATTGCCCCTGCTCCAATGCAATTCCATCCACATGCAGTGCAGGGTCACCAGGTCAAACAGGCTGATCAGGTGTCACCATTTTTGTCTCATTAATATGTAGCACAAGGTTTGTCTCGTTGTCTAGGAGACAACCAATCAGGGACATTCCCGCCAAGGGCCTTATCGGAGTTTATAGCCCGCTTAATCGTAATTTTGCTGCTGTTTGATGACATGTTCGGTGTGGAAGAAAGAAACCTACTGGTAACAAAAGCACGTACCATGACAGGAATCCAATCACTAGAATAGCTTGTCGATGGCATTCTCTTTGCGAGACGACAGAGAAAATCTACAACCTGCAGAGACAACGTAGGCAACACTAAAGCATCTGTTAGGATATCATTTCATAAGATTTTTAACTTCTTAAGCTTAAAAATATTTCCACTAAGGCCGCACCGAAAAAGTCCTTTTGTTTCTGGTAATCTGACTGACCAATGTTTTTGCATGCATGCATGAATACCAGTATAATTATATTCGCATCATACGCATATACGTGTACATGTACGTGCGCGCAGTTCATGATGTGTCAGGCCCAAACTCTTCCTTCCTGGCTCTGGCTAGACATTTCGGTCCTTTGCTTCGAGTTAACTCGATCGAGTCGGATTTTTTAAAAGGGGGTTGTATCTGCCAAGTGTGACGTTTCAACACTGATATGTTTTAGTTTAGAAACTTTAGTGGCCGTGATTCTGCCTGCAGTTTCCGTCACTATATTTGAAGACGGCCTGACCGTTGTCAACAGCTGCATTGTTAGAGTCACGGAGGAGTGTTAAAAACTATTCGTCCAGAAGGTGTCACTCACTTCAAAGCAGTGTTTGCTTCCTCCACTGAAACCGGGTCAAGCCGCAACGGTGCTGACAAGAGTCATAATGTTGGATTTCATTTGGAGTTCGGACTAGGCCCCGGCGGATAATGCTCGAGAATTTGATGGATTCTGGTTTTCAATACGCTCGCATTCTGCTCCAAAATAGCACTGATAATTTATTTATTTATTTATTTCACCTCCCCGTGGCCAGAGAATATAGGCCAATATGGAGGGAGGGGGGCGGTAGCCAGCCATGGCAGTAAACAAAAACAAAGCAAAAATAAATAAATATTACACATTACTGGAGGCAAAGAGAAACAAATGTGGATGAAGAACTAGCAGTTATTAGAACACGAGCTTCATGTTGGCCTTGAAATTCTTTAGCGTACAAGACGATTTTACTGATAGAGGCAGGGCCAGCCAGAGAGAATAGGCAGCAAAAAACGGAGATCTGGTATAAGCTGAGGTTCGGGCTTTAGGTAAGGTGCAGGGATTGCGCGTAGGACGAGTGGGAAGAAACCAGTTATATTTACGCAAGTGTGGCGGGGCTTTGTCAAGACGAATAGAATGAACAACAATACACAGTTTTCGATCCGCTTGACTAGAGATAAGTAAGTAAAAAGTAAAGTAAATTATCGCGTCCGTTCCCGAAGGGAACTCACGACGGCCGCTAACACCCGGTAAACCCTAGCGGCAGATGCAGCGCCTAACGGTGGGGGTGAGTGGGTAAGTCTCACAACCACTGGCACAAGTGCCAAGAACGACCCCATTAGCTGCATCCATGTACCCCTTGTGCCTGGCCACAAGTTCCCAGTTGACTGTGGGTAGCAGCACGGCTGGAAAAACCGCTCCCAGGCAGGACTTGAACCAGGTACCTCTCGTATCTCAATCATGGTCTTTGACCAACCCACTGTGCCTGCCTGGTCTAGAGATAGGGAAGGTGTTAAACATATCATACAGCTCGGCAGAAGGAAAGTATGATGGTTTGCGGAAAAGGACTTTGAGAATCCTCTTATTGTGGACTTCCAGGGTACTCATTAACGATTTACTAAGTAGGGATGACCAGGCGGTTGAGCAATAGATAATACTTGAATTCTGCTTAGAAAAAATGTAAATAGTGCTATAGATTACTGTTGCAGATTGGTAACTGCATACATGTATATTGCAGAATAAGTTATGTTCTACGAAACAGAAAAATTCAAGAAGCACAGAATTATTATTACTCAGCAGGCAAAGGCGCAGTAGTAGTCGTGGGGGTATTGTGAATTCTCACGAAAATCCCAAATTTTGCAAGAATATGATAGTTTTCGCAAGAATATGCTAGTTTTCTGCAAAACTTGCCGGATTATGCAAGCACAGTGCTAATTTCCGGAAAGTGTTAGATATGCTAGCTAAATTTTTTACTTTAGTACACAACCTACTCGTCAGAAGGGGAGAAGACAACAGAGTATACAATAACAAAACAGCAGGGAGAGTAGGGGCTGCAAAGCAAGCCTGTGCTGGTGAGGCAAGGCCACAACATCGACCTATGGTCTCGGCGTTAACGTGAGCTTGCGCACCAAAGCCTAAAAGAAGGGGGTGATTTAGTGCGATAAAGACAATGGAAGGTGAGGTAGAATGGTTGAGGAGAGAGAGAGAAAATGAAAGAGAGAAAGAGAGAGAGAGCGAGAGAGAGAGAGAGAGAGAGAGAGAGAGAGAGAGATAAAGAGAGAGAGAGAGAGAGAGAGAGAGAGAGAGAGAGAGAGAGAGAGAGAGAGAGAGAGAGAGAGGTAGGGGTGTGAAGCAGACTGTTGGCATTGTCTCCGGGTTACAGGTGCGCACGGTGGACAAGGAGAGGAGGGACCATGGATCTCAGCAGAGGAGGACCTGGTTGGCCCAGTAGCTTGTAGACGAAAGTCAGCGCCGCCACTGTCCGTCGGGCCTCGAGGCTCTGGAGCAAGATTTTGGGTCCCAGGATGTGGAGGGCACGCCTCTGCACTCTGTTAAGGTGTTCAAGGTTGGTGGGAGCAGCTCCCATCCAGACAAGGGGAGCGTACTCGAGCAGGGGCCAGACGAAGCCGTGATACACGGCCAGCATGCCACGGCAGTCAGGAACGCGAGCAGCTCTACGTAGGAGGCCAAGACGTGGGTTTGCCCTGGCAACAACTGACCGGATATGCGTGGAAAAGGTTGTCAAATATAATGCTAGCATTATCCACCGAGGCCTAGTTCGGACGCCAGTTTTTTTCCTCACATTGGAGCAACAGAAAGTTGAAGTTCCTGGCCCGCAATGATCGCTGAACGATGTGTTGATGCGCAACGACTCGGAGCTCTGCTTTGCTTGGTGTCTGAATATGACCAGTTTGGCTGTTCCTGGCGGTCTGATCGAGCTGTTGTCTCGTTGATTAAGACCAATCGAGCATGTGTTTAAGTTGGATGTGAATAATGTCAAAGCGTTACCGAAATATGTATATGTTCCCAAAGGGGAACGTTGGCCGAATTGTGTACCCAAAGGACGCTGGTTTTCATGAAAGGAAGATACGACGTGATCAATTATTAATTTTCTATGTGTTAAAGGGGAAGTTAAGGCAAAAATTAAAATTTCACCAGTTGTAGTCTTCGGGGTGCTGAGTCGAATGGTCGTGGTCCGAGGAAGCTGAGACGCTCCCTTCCTACTTGAATCCCAATCGAACTCGCGCACTTCCACCGAAACTGGGTGACTGCGCCCTACTAGATGGGGATTTGTATGCAAAATGTCACTAAAAGCGCCATTTCGTTCTTATAAAAGCATGGATGACCGCGATTGGCCCATATGTTGTAGTCTTTTGGACGCTGAGTCGATTGGTTTTGGTCCGAAAAGGCTGCGATGCAGCGTTCCTCCTTTATTCCCAATCGAACATGCTTGAACAAGCGGTCACGTGCTCCTGGGTGCCTAAATCACCTGGTCCCCACGCCAGCAGGCGACAACTTTCACACCAAGGTTCAACTCGAGTGACAGGACTGCACCCAAAAAAGGTCAAACAGGCTAGTAAGTTGTACCCTGCAGGCACGGTGGCCAGGTGACTGGCGTACGCAGGAGCACGTGACCACTTGTTCAACCATGTTCGATTGGGAATAAAGGAGGAACGCTGCATCGCAGCCTTTTCGGACCAAAACCAATCGACTCAGCGTCCAAAAGACTACAACATATGGGCCAATCGCGGTCATCCGTGCTTTTATAAGAACGAGATGGCGCTTTTAGTGACATTTTGCATACAAATCCCCATCTAGTAGGGCGCAGTCACCCAGTTTCGGTGGAAGTGCGCGAGTTCGATTGGGATTCAAGTAGGAAGGGAGCGTCTCAGCTTCCTCGGACCAGGACCATTCGACTCAGCACCCCGAAGACTACAACTGGTGAAATTTTAATTTTTGCCTTAACTTCCCCTTTAATGGAAGAAAAACCATACGCGCACCATCTTCAACTCAAATGGTCTCTTTGCTGCAAATTACAATGTGTTAGTGGACCAAAATAAACTTGAAATACTAGAGGTGGAGAACACAATTATTATGATGGTCATCGAGGAGTGTCAGAAACCACATGTCAGTGGTTTGCTGCTGATGCGTCACTGGTATATACCGTGACAGTTTTGTACCATGATCGAAATGCAGTTGAGCTCCACACAAGGAGCGTTTACATTTTTGTTTTGTATGCACCACTTGCAATGATCATGTGTTGTCAACATGCTGTTGTGTCAAACACCATTCTAGCGCACATCAACTGGAAGTCTGGACACTGGCGATGATGCACGGGGTCGGCTTTCATCAAACAAATGGCGATCTCAGGATGAAACTAGATGAAGAACATCGGCCTGGGGCTCACGGCTTTTTGGACAATTGGCACGCTCAGATTAGTTGCAAGAGGTTGGTACATTAGCCAGACAAGAAGAGGTCCAATGAATCTCCCAAGATCAATTGTTTCCGAGCTAGTGTTGTCCTTCAATGTCCTTGTCGCGGATATTGTGCGGTACTGACTCGTCCACTATTTCTAGAGAAGTACAGGGTGTACACCCCTTGAGAGATCCACTGGTGATGCCGTAACGAACTCGGGGTGATCGTCAATGGATGAGTCAAGTTGCATTTGAGGTTGGCTATCATCATCAGCAGTCTATTTCACCCAGCGTGTTATTCCAGCTGGTTGCAGATTGACACTTTTCGCCGTCGTCCTCACAATAACAGAACAGCCACCAACGTCATCATCCTCTCCACTCCTTAGTCTCACAATTATCTAGCTCCATATCTCTAGCAGATTCCGTGATACGTTTATCATCCATCAAATCATCTGATTACTCGTCTTTTTTGTTGTCCACGTTCAGATTGCCAGTATTCGGTGGCGCTAAGACAAAGATCTGAAGGGCGCTTGAGTTCTCGACAGCTTCCTCAGCTTCCACTAGAGTCGCTATTCTTGATTACACTTCCAGGAAGGACTCTGCTACCATAGACATTTCCATCTGCAAAACACCACACCTATCTGCATTT